GTACAAAGAGGATGTGATTTAAAGATTTTATAGTTTATAGTTTCCTTAAAAAATATTAGTTGGTATTTAATTTAAAAAACACTGTATTTTAAAAATTACAAATGTGTTCATTTCGACAAAACTGTCAAACATATTTCAATTCAATTCAAATTCAAAAATACTTTATTGATCCCAGAGGGAAATTTGGTTTTTGGTTTTTACAAAATACACWGAATTTCAATTCTGATTCAGATTAGCAAAAACCAAATACTGTTTTATGTTTAAATAGCAAAGGGGCTTGGAACAAAAGTGATGTAATTGCGGCGCCCCGTCCCCGCACGGTGTCCTGACGCGTGGTCGTGCACCTCCGAGATTTTGTAGCTCCGCAAAGGCCGCGCACCGCACTTCATTTCAAGATAGATGTTTTCGAAGGTGCTCAGGTACGCATGTACATCACTTATGATCCCTCCGAGAGATCATAAAGATAACCAGATGTCACAGAACACCTGGAAAGAAATTGCAGCTTTTTGTTTTAGAATATACAAACAAAAAGCTTCCTTTTAAGTTGACTCTTTTCAGTTATTTCAACAGTTGTAATTTCTACATCAACATGTTCATAACTATTGTTGCAGAGTTACTACTGCAAACCTAATTCACATCAAGACTTCAGAACATTGTAATCTAATCACTGGGCTGTAAACAACAAGCTGTAGAACAAATGAAAAAACAAACTTTTGGTTAACACTAGTGAAAATAGAACCAAAAACCACACTTGTTGATGGGTAAACTACTGTCGGTGAGGGAAGAACAGCGCYTCACGTGAACGTCAAGTATGATTTCACACAGCTCAGGAGCGCGCACACTCCACGGAGCACGCACGACAACCTAAACCGCAACTATAACCAAGCCTTCAGCAGCCTTTGGGTGAAAGCAGGGGACACCTGGACAGGTCTCCAGTCCATYACAGGGACACAGACAGAGACAAACAACTATCCACCCTTCCAGTCATGCTAGAGTCACACAGAGAGCTCCARAAGGTTTTAAAAACTGAGAACTCTGAGATCTGAGTTGTAATCATTTATTATTAACAATTTATCACATCAACCATTGTTCATTATTATTGATCATTTTTGTGGAGTTTTTAACATTAAGATGTACTCAGGCAGACATACAGTATATAAGCATATACATATATTTATTATTATTAATACAATAATTAAAGGTGAGCCGTGTAAATTTATGTTTATCAAACAAGTAGTCCTTGTCAATGTMTAATTATTTAGTATTCAGTTAGATTGATTGGAGCACTCGTAAACTACACAACATATGATCAAAAAGAAAAAAAAGTAGGTCCTCTGGATGGGTTCTTCTTTAGTGAAACGTTTCATCTCTCCTCCAAGAGACTTCTTCAGTCTGAGAGTTTCAGGTGAA